GTTTTATTTTATCCAAATCTAGAGTCAACTGTGGTATCTATCAGCATCTATGCGCTGTGCTCCACTCCAACGTGTTTGCTTATATTAAAGTGAGGGACGTGAGAGGGCAGAATATCGTTGGTGAACCGGGGTGGTTTCCTCCCCCCTCCCGCCTGTTCAGCCTCCTGAGCAGCTCACGCGCCTTTTCAGTCTTTCAGATGTGGAGCGCAGAGTCTTCTTTCTCTTCTTCAATGTATGAATCAACAGTAAGCTTAATTTTTCTCTTTCGTTAATTACGTCTTGATCTAATTAATGTTTGGAGTTGTTCAGCTTGTGTTTTATTGGAAAGTTTCTGTGACTTTTATTCTAAAGGGCCATGTGGTCAGAAAGAGTATAAGAAAAATACGTCATACTTAAAGTTAGTTTTATATTATTATATGTTTAATATATTATGTTGTTTGAGTGCAGTGCTTTGAGATCCTGCTTTATTACTTGGAGTTAAGTTGCCTTTAACCGTCTTATAAAGTCAAACACACCTGGCTTTGGCAACAGTTTGCCTCCAGGGGTTTTGGCACAATCACGATTTTATCAGAGATACAGTTTAAAAAAAAGGGGAAAAAAAGCAACAATTTAAAAGAGGTGAGCTTTTCGATGAGGTTACCGCTTAACATTTGCTGATAAAAGTAAAAAAAAAAAAAAAAAAGAGACACACAAGAAATGATGAAAGATGATGATGAAAGAGACGGTGCGCCCTGAAGTGGGGCACATTAGAGTGGGCCGTGACCGTTGCCGGTTACTGAGATGGTTTCTGTTTGCGGGTGAGTGTGGGTTTCACTCCATTAAAGCAAACAAACGAACAGAGATCAGGCAAAGACAGAACACACAAACTTGTGGAGATGCGCACTCTTTGGATGATACTAAAAACCGTTCATTTTCATACAAATCCTTCCTACAAAATAGTTCAACTTTAGACAGCAACAGCCCAGCAAAATGTGATTGAAACCCTGACCACCTGTAGTATTTGCCAAAAAAACGAGCCAGAAGAATATTCCTGTTGCAAAAGCTGCAGTTAGTTTATGGTAAAGTGGCTTTTTCTTTTTATCAAAGGGTAAAAATTATTTTTGATATTAAAAATGTTAAATAAAGCACATTTTTTAGATATTAAAAAATGTGCTTTTAAGAGCGATCTGTCCGGGAGGGACTTTAAGTGGTATGGTACAATAACGCATAGCCACAAATATACTTGTAAAACAGGTAGTTTCTTAATTTTATATAAAACCCTTTCGTTAATCATGTTCAGTCTATTTAGTAACAGAAGTAAAGACAGACATAGAAACACTTCGGAAGTGACTTTTTGGCACAAGCTGAACTGTAGACGGACAGACGGCTGCCCGTGGGAGTTATTTGTTAAAGAAAGCATTTTTAAAATTAAAAAAAAAAAAATCACAGACACATTCTGACGAATCGCAACAGCCCACTTCACTTTTACAGATTCTTGTTTGAACCTAAACAAACGTGTCACAGATCAGAGCCAAAGCTTTTGTGAAATTGAATTCCTCGCCCAAATCCGGAACTGCGAGTGGTTTCCGCGTAAGACAGAGGACGCCTCATGACATCTCTTGCAAAAATAAAAATTAAAAAAGATAAAAAAAAAAGAAGGAATTGAATGTTTGTTTGTTTTTTATTTTATTTATTTCTTTTTGTGAGAAGCCTTAAACCAATAGGGTTAGTTCTTGAACAAAATCGCACTGCAGAGGGGCTAGAGGGGCTTGAGCACCCGCCCCTTTCCTGATGGGTGCCCAAAGTGCCCTTTTATTGAGGCAACTTTTAAAAAAATTATTATTATTATTATTATTATGTGTGTGGGCGTGCGGAGTCCTGTCTGTTCGCCCTTGACGGCAGAACGCGCTGGTTACGAGCCGGGAACGAGCTCACAAAGAGCACGCGCATTTTTAGCGGTCCGGTGTTCCAGATCTACTGGCGTTTAGATCAACTGGCGTTGGTCGAACAGATGTGTGGCAGTCTTGCGTTTCAGTAGCTACTACCGACAAACCAGCAAAAAAACGCCAAATGTGTCATCTGTGACACTTGTGAGGTTGTCTCAAACACACTCCGTCAGTCTTGATGCTGTTGAACAACAAAATGTTTAAAAATGTGGCGAGTTTATCTGGTGATATCCTCATGCGCGACGCGATCGCGAAAACAGCAAACAAGTAACACCACGCCGATGTTGTTCACAGGACAGCAAGAGTAAACGATCGGGAGAACCTTGTCGTCGTTATCGTTCCCCTCGCACGGTTTATTTCTCCGAATTCAGCGTTTTTGCTTCACAACTACAGCGTGCTGTTTACTTTGTGCACTAACATGGAGTCGGGTCAACCAGCGCCACCTCTGGCCAAGTGCCACAGCCTACAGCCAGATCAACTGGTGACACATCTGCACCACGTTTGAATTCGTGTCATGCACATTTGTACCTTTCAATTGTGTCTGTTTGTGCGTCATGCAAATAAACCTTTGAAATGAATGAAATGATATCATGTATTTATTATCAGCCTACATTTGTACAAAATGCCAAATGACATACACATAAGAATCACCATCCTGATATCAATACTTTTGCCCATACGAAAAATGTCGTGAACACACTAATATTTCACCAGTGTTGTAACATCACATGTCGTTAGCGTAGTCTGTCTGTGTCTTCCCTCTGCAAACAAACATGTTAGAGTTGGTTGTGATATACAGTCTGCATAAGTGTGGTCAATCTAATAAACATTTATAAGGAGATGGCAGTTACTGTGAATGTATAGCAGTTACACAGTGATTAGTAATAAACAGTCAGACAATGACCCTGACAATCTCATTCAATCTTGCAGATTGCACCTTCTGTGGAAAGTGGTACCACACGGTGTGTGTGGACTTCCCCTGTGCAGAAGGCGACTACAAATGTTGTGGGTGCTAAATAAACAGAAAAAATTGATCCCTGTTGTCTTTGCTTACCGATCGTTTTTAGTGTTGACAATCCACATTGCTGGCATTGCATCTTTCAACATGTTTGTGGGCAGATTTGGATGTACCAGGGGTAAGTGCAGCCACTCAGCCTCTACTCAATGTGATCATAGCAGCAGGTGCAGATGTGTCACAAGTTAATCTAGTAGTGGGCTATGGTCATGTGTTAGTGGTGGGAACAGTCATATCCACTCACTCTCACTGGCTGTTTATTACTAATCACTGTGTAACTGCTGTGGATTCACAGTAACTGCCGTCTCCTTACAAATGTTCATTAGATTGACCACACTTATACAGACTGTATATAACTCCAGCCATGTTGATGAATTGCCTATATTGGCTGGAAATATTCATTTTCAGGGAAAAGACACAGACAGACGATGCTTACAGGATGTGATGTTACAACACTAATGAAATATTGATGTGTCATATTTGTCCAAGGTGTATTTCATTGTTATGGAAAAAGAGAATATTAAAATCATGATGACCAATTGGAGTGGTGATGTCTATGACTTTGTGTATATAATTTGGAATTTTGTACAAATGTAGGCTGATAATAAATATATGATATCATTTCATTCTTTTCAATGGTTTATTTGCATGACGCACAAACAGAGACAATTGAAAGGTGCAAATGTGCATGACACGAATTCAAACGTGGTGCAGATGTGTGTCACCAGTTGATCTGGCTGTGGGCTGTGGCACTTGGCCAGAGGTGGCGCTGGTTGACTCGACTCCATGTTAGTGCACAAAGTAAACTGCACGCTGTAGTTGTGAAGCAAAAACGCTGAATTCGGAGAAATAAACCGTGCGAGGGGAACGATAACGACGACAAGAGTCTCCCGATCGTTTACTCTTGCTGTCCTGTGAACAACATCGGCGTGGTGTTACTTGTTTGCTGTTTTCGCGATCGCGTCGCGCATGAGGATATCACCAGATAAACTCGCCACATTTTTATACATTTTGTTGTTCAACAGCATCAAGACTGACGGAGTGTGTTTGAGATAACCTCACAAGTGTCACAGGTGACACATTTGGCGTTTTTTTGCTGGTTTGTCGGTAGGAGCTACTGAAACGCAAGACTGCCACACATCTGTTCGACCAACGCCAGTTGATCTAAACGCCAGTAGATCTGGAACACCGGTCACAGCTGCTGGCTACCTGTGTAAGGCTGTCATGGGTCTGTAGCTCTGTCACCGTTTTAGGGAACAAATTTAGTTTTAAAGTAAGTTTCCGGCTTTTCCTGCCTTTCTGGAGGGATTATATTTCACTAAAAAACGATCTAATGTGCATGTCCACATAATTATGCATTATTATAATTATAATATATTTTTAAAAAAGCAGATTATATTAGATTTCTATTTTAAATAAGACAAAATTTGGATTTTACAGCAGTAAAATGATTGTATCTCTACAGTTTAAAAATGTAATAAGCTTTGCCCCTGCACAGAGTGGATAGTGAAACAAATGGAATCATCATAATGACATTATTTCATATTTATTACTTCCCCCTCCTCATTGCTTTATTATTGTAGCTCTAGTAATAAATAATAATGTAAGGATGCCCATAGTATATACAGTACTCTGAAGAAGGTCTAAAATGTCACTGTGTGTGCGTGCGTGTGTGTGTGAGGTGCTGTGTTTGCTTCAGAGTTGTTACACCTGTGAGTAGGGATGGGTACCGGTATCGGTTCTGACATAAACGGTATAACCAGACCGAAAAGCAGCGCACATTTCGGTGCTTTCTTTCGGTGCTTTTTTCCCCCTGAGATGTCATACACTTTGAATACTAGCCAATCATTTTAACTACACCTGGCGACGTATAGCATTTTGTTAAAAGTCGAGAAATGCACCGTATTTGATAGCTTGCTGTGAGACCTCACACCGTGCACATCTACTGCGGGTGTGATGCCTGTAATCGGACGCGGAGTTAGCAACATCCCCCAAGAACCGAAGGAGTAGAGTCCTGGCCCCTAGCCCTGCCAGGGTAGCAGAAATGATGACGGATGATGATGCAGCAGCAGCCGTTCTTCTCTGAGTGAGTGGCTTAATGTTGTTCGTGTGTAATTTACATTGAGTAGGCCAACCACGTTATTAAATTAATGGATGCAAGGTGAACTAGCAAACACCGTAGTAGTTAAGCGGCTGACTTCTTGTTTGATGGCAGATACTCCCTTCACCCTGGCCAAAAAGGCTAAAATGACCAAAGAAAAAGTAGAAAACAGCTAAACATGAGAGTTTTTTGGACCAATATTGTGTTCTCCATTCTTTAAGCACCGGTTCGAGCACCGTTTAAGCACCGGCACCGTTTCAAAAGTACCGGTTTGGTACTGGTATCGGATAAAACCTAAACGATACCCATTCCTACCTGTGAGTATGAGCAACATAAAGTGGTTAAAACGGACAATAAATTCAAATTTCTTCTCCTGCCTGATTTTTTTGCAGAAAAACATGACATGCTACTTGTATTAGTTCAGATTTATTAGCAAAATACCAAGAAAAATGTACTTAAATCTAATATATATTTTTTTTGGTTTGGTAAGTTTAGATCTAATCATTTAATAAGTGGCAATTCAGTACAAGCAATATATATTGTTTATATTATGAATAAATGGATAAATAAAATGCATAGATGTAACAAAATGTTGAAAATCTCTGGTGTTTTCTCTCTTTGTGTTGTCGTTGTTGTTGTTTCCCAAGGGCAAAGCTGGAGAAGGCTTTAAAGCAGCAGCTCATGGATTCACCAAACCAAGCGTCTCGCTCTGCAGGTACGAGTTCAGCAGCATGTTTGGAGAGACGTCATTAAGGCAAACAAACATGAATCACAAAGAGGATTTTTCCAGCGAACACAACAGAGCTCTCTGCTTAACTCCATATAGAGGAATGACATTAAAGCATTGGCAGAAATGCTCAGACAGTAAAACAAAGGCTAATCCATAAAACATATTAAACATTAAACCAAACATATTTCATGATTAAAAAAATAATGTGAAATTTATGTCTCAGCCAAATAAAACAAACAAACAGAAGAACAAAAACGGGCAGCTTCTTATATAATATGCTTATGGTTTTCATATCAATCTTTACATGCTTACTTTTCAAAAATTCTAAAACTTGCTCATTTTCAGTACTCAGAGAGAAGTAGCATATAGAATATTTTTATCTGTGGGAGCTGGTGGACAACCTTTGGTTGGAATTTTGCAGAGTCTACTCATATTGAGTTAACTAGGAAGTCTATGCTATCTGAACTACACTAATTAGATGTATTTGTTATTAAATTTCAAGGTCAATCAACTTTCATCTTTCTTTTTTAAGAAAAAATGAAAAAGAAAAGAAATTTGAAATCCTCACATCAATTTCTTTCTTTCCACAGAGAAGGAGCTTGCCAGAATGCGAACACAGTTTGTGCAGAGGGTGACAGCAGAAAATTTCACACAGCTACTTGAAGCCCTTGTAACAGACAATGTCTTGAATGAGTTGGAGAAAGAAAGGATACAGGAAACTAACCAAACTAGAGCAGACAAGGCACGTGACTTCATTGACACCGTGAAGAAAAAGGGAGAAAAAGCCTGCAGGATAATGATCAGTCACCTTCGAACCATTGATCCTACAGTTTCCTGTCAGCTAGGTTTGTCCTCTGGGCCATCTGTTCGGTTAGGTGAGAAAAAAAATATTTCTGTTATGATTTTTATCATTGCACAGTTTGCTTGAACGGTGAGAGTATGATGCATTTCTTTTTCTATTGTAAATCGTTTGTCGTTTGTCTTCGATCAGTTTTCATTTAAATATTTATGGAGTGCCTTACTTGGTTTTTAAATTACTATAAATTTATCTGGAGAAGTGGAGTCCAGTCCATTCTTGAATTACCTTCTGTGAAAAGAAACGAGCAGTTGGGATATTTATATCATCCCAATTGGTTCCTGCATATTGTTGTTTTCCCTGATGGATGAAAAGGTTGTTTCCCTGAACCACTGGGTTGAAGAATTGATATTGACTATTATCCTAACTTACACAGTAACAGCTCAGAGTTCTGGCAGAACTTTGGGCTATCAGAAACTGAATTTGAATAACTTTTATTTGAATTTGCATTGCTCAGATTGAATCTGAATTTCTCAACTTGATTAAAAGCTTCCAAAACTGAATTTGAAAATTCTTCACCTGTTCAAAGACAAAGCAGCCATTTAAATAAAATATAAGATATTGTTCATCTGTAACTGCAAAAAGAGAATTTAGAAATGTAATTATTAACAATTAGCTGTAGATTACTGATCGTGTAATCTACAGCTGTGGCCAAATGTTTGGAGAATGAGAAGTGTTTTGTTTTGTTTTTTTCCACACAATTTGCCGTTTCAGTGATAGTCATATCAGGTGATCCAGATGAGTTAGTAGCTTCTCTACTGTCAGGGTCTCTGCAAGCATATGGGGCTCTGAGAGGGTACAAGTTGACAACTTTGGAATTCTATTGGAAACAAACTATCATATTTGTTTGTCAAATCTGAACCCAGGGCAAACTAACCTAAATTGGCGTTTTTAGCTAACAGTTACAAAAGCACAACAGTAACTGTTTTGGTTATAATTTGTTTATATTAAGCTTTTTCTTATAGAGGTAATATATTTATTACCAACCTGAGAGTTTATCTGCTGGTCATTGAGCATGACGAATGGGAGGGACTGAGGACACAACCCTGTGGAATGCCAGTGTTAGTAATAATGCTGGCTTAAGTCCTATTGCCGATCCTGACGGACTGCGGCCTGCCAGTCAAAAAGTCCTGTAGCCAGTCACATAGGGTGGGGTGTAGGCCGAGTGTTGCCAACTTTTGAGTGAGTTTGTGTGGGATGACAGTATTGAAGGCAGAGCTGTAATAAACAAAAACTACCCTGATGTATGAGTCTTTGTTTTCTAGATCTGGAGGGTCTCGAAGCAGGTGTAGAATTGAGGTCATCCAGCAGACTGCCTGCAGAGCTGGCAGAACTGCAACTGAGAAGTGAGAGGGGAAACTGAACATATTTGTTACGTCCCCTCTTAAATGCTAGGCGATGAGGGTGGGGGACAGTAACAGTTAGATCCAGGTGGAATGAAAAGAACGCCAGGCAGAGGTATTTAATATAAAAGAGATCTTTATTGTAGGCAAACACCTCAATAATTACAAATGGCAACAACAAAAGGAGACAGCACCGCTGCTTTTTAATAAGAAATCAGGGAGGTCAACCCAAAGTGGTAATGACCACTCAACAAAGAAAGCAACAATAAGGCTTCAACAGAAAGAGACAGCAACGCTGCTAACAAACAATATCCAGGCAGGCCACACAAACTAATGAAGGCCGCCATCACTCATGGGCAATCACTGCTCAGTTAAGCACTACTCACACACCAGAGTCACACACCAGAGCCACACACCAGAAGGCTGGTCACACGCAGCAGGCTGTTCCACACCTAAGTCAGTAGCCCACTCTGACCAGCACAGAGGGAAAACCACCAGAAACCTCTCCTTCCTCTTCCACACTGCTCTTCTCCAGCTTATATCACCCCTGAGGGTAATTGGTTGTAACGAGAGCAGATGAGCAGCAGGTGTGACCTAAAGGAGAGGGCAGGGGCAGAGAGAGACAAGGGGAGGGCCAGAACGAAGGAGGAGGAGAGAGAGAAGACAACACCACGCCCACACACTCCCACAGCCTCCCAGGATGTAACAATATTCAAGAGCTAAATTTAAAAAAAGGATAAAATACAATTTCTTTGGTTCAATAAAAGGATCAGGGATTGCAACATCTAATCCTTTTACTGAATCAAAGAAAATTAATTCATTCTGTTTCAATTTAGTGACAATCATCTCCAAACCAACACACTGGATTTCAAATTTAGGTTAATTCAGTTTTAGAAGCCTTTTTTTTTTATCTATTGTTGAGCAAATCAGACTCAATCTTAGCAATGCAAATTCAAATATAAATTATTCAAATTCAGTTTCTGATGGCAAAAAGTTCTGCCCATATCAGAGCACCTGCCCTTCTTGGAATGCTCTATTGGCGTGCTGGAACATGCCTCAGGTGGAATCTACAATGTCCTACTAGGAGACTTCAATGATCATGTAGGCAATAACAGTGAGACCTGGGGTGTGACTGTACTAAACAGAGTTTATCTATAATGAACCCGTTGTTCAAGCATTAGGATATTGAAAAGTGCACTCGGCACTGGGAAACACTATGTGGCAAGACAATTAACAATTTTTTATGAATTTATATTAAATAAACCAACCATATTAGTCAGAAAATTTTATGTGTTGTTTTTTTTCTGTTAGCAGCACTTGAGAAGTGTCAGCTCAAATTCAAATCTACTCTGAAGAAGAAATTCCAGTGTGTGTTTGAGGGAATTCCTAAAGCAGGGAACCCAACCCTGCTGAATCAGATCTACACAGAGCTCTACATCACAGAGGGAGAGACTACAGAGGTCAATCGTGAACATGAGGTCAGACAGATTGAAACAGCATCCAGGAAATGGCACAGTACAAAAATAACAATCAGACAAGAAGACATCTTTAAAGGCCCACCTGGAAGAGATGAACCGATCAGGACAGTGTTGACAATGGGAGTGGCTGGAATTGGGAAAACAGTGTTAACACAGAAGTTCACTCTGGATTGGGCTGAATGCAAAACCAATCAGGACATCCAGTTCATATTTCCATTCACTTTCAGAGAGCTGAATGTGCTACAAGAGAAAAAGTTCAGCTTGGTGGAACTTATTCATCTCTTCTTTACTGAAACCAAAGAAGCAGGAATCTGCAGCTTTGAAGACTTCCAGGTTGTGTTCATCTTTGATGGTCTGGATGAGTGTCGACCTCCTCTGGATTTCCACAAAACTAAAATCCTAACTGACCTTCGAAAGTCCACCTCCGTGGATGCGATACTGATAAACCTCATCAGAGGGCATCTGCTTCCCACTTCTCGCCTCTGGATAACCACACGACCTGCAGCAGCCAATCAGGTGCCTGCTGAGTGTGTTGACATGGTGACAGAGGTCAGAGGATTTACTGACCCACATAAGAATGAGTACTTCAGAAAGCGATACAAGGATAAGAAAAAAGCCAATAGGGTAATCTCCCACATCAAGACATCACGAAGCCTCCACATCATGTGCCACATCCCAGTCTTCTGCTGGATCACTGCTACAGTTCTGGAGAATATGCTAGAAACCAGAAAGAGGCGAGAGTTGCCTAAGACTCTGACTGAAATGTACATCCACTTCTTGGTGATTCAGGTCAAAGTGAAGAAGGTCAAGTATGATGGAGGAGCTGAGACAGATCAACACTGGAGTCCAGAGAGCAGGAAGATGATTGAGTCTCTGGGAAAACTGGCTTTTGAGCAGCTGCAAAAAGGAAATCTGATCTTCTATGAATCAGACCTGACAGAGTGTGGCATCGATATCAGAGCAGCCTCAGTGTACTCAGGAGTGTTCACACAGATCTTTAAAGAGGAGAGAGGACTGTACCAGAATAGGGTGTTCTGCTTTGTCCATCTGAGTGTTCAGGAGTTTCTGGCTGCTCTTCATGTCCATCTGACTTTCATCAACTCTGGAGTCAATCTGCTGGAAGAACAACAAACTGGGGCACATTTCTACAAGAGTGCTGTGGACAAGTCCTTACAGAGTCCAAATGGACACCTGGACTTGTTCCTTCGCTTCCTCCTGGGTATTTCACTACATTCCAATCAGACTCTCCTACAAGGCCCGCTGACACAAAGAAAACGTAGCTCACGAATCAATCAGGAAGTAGTGCAGTACATCAAGCAGAAGATTGGGGAGAATCCTGATCAGGAGAGAATCTTTAATCTCTTTCACTGTTTGAATGAACTGAATGATCGTTCTCTTATGAAGGAAATTCAACAGTCCCTGAGTTCAGGAAGTCTCTCCACAGATAAATTTTCCTCTGCCCAGTGGTCAGCTTTGGTCTTCATTTTATTGTCATCAGAAAAACACCTGGATAAGTTTGACTTAAAGAAATACTCTGCTTCAGGAGAAGGCCTTTTAAGTCTGTTGCCTGTGGTCAAAGCCTCCAACTACGCTCTGTAAGTTACCATTAAATACACTATCATCTTTAGAAACTGACGGAAATGAAAATGATCACACTTATTAGTAATAATTTCATTTGTGTGGCACTTTCAAAATACACACATATAAAGGTTCTTCACAGTTTGGATAAAACCACACAGGTATACATGGTCGATTACACAGTGAGACACTAATTGGACGATCTGAGAAGGTGACTGCTGGAATACGGTCCCAGCAGCTCTGCTATATAAGCAGGAACCTGGCTCTGTATGTGATTAATACAATTTTAAAACACATTCTGAATTTCACTGAAAGCCAGTGTTTTAAGCATTATACGTGCTGTTTTAAGCATTATACGTGCTGTGTTCTTGACCAACTGAAGCCAGGCAAAGGAGGACTGAGAGAGCCAAAATTGAGACAGGAGAAAATTATAGTAGTGACTACTAAAAGTTCCATATCATCAGTAAAGGTTTGATTTTTGCAATGTTTCTTAAATGAAAGAAATGAGACTAGATGGTCTTAGAGACATGATATTCAAAATTCAGATTTTAGTCAAAAATAATAAAACTTTCAGATGATTTGATATTACCTGCATATGGACTGACCCAAACACACAAAGAACAGAAAACCAAGTTGGTGGAGAGCCTGCATGACCGCGGGGCAGACGGTCAGCAGAGTCTCTCTGAGCCTAACATGGCTCTCAGTTAACCCTTTAAGACCTACCATAGAACCAAGTTCGCCAGAGCTTATATTATATTTTTACATGCTGTGGAGCCATTTTTGGGAGCATTTCAAGTTGCTATACATCAATACAACCATTATAGCCCAAACTTTAATAATATGTCTGCATTAGGTGCATAGTAATTACATAAATTGCAAAAAAGTGCAATAAACTACAAAAAAATTGAAAATCGTTTTTGTTTTTTTAACATATATTTCTAGTTAGAGAAATTTAAGAGGCTTATCCCTCAAAACTGTAAATACAAAAAAGTTACACAAACTAGTTTCCCACCACAGGAAATTTATTTTGAGTGTCTTCATAGTTTTATTTTGAAATACACCAATTTTTATATACTGCAGGAAAAACGAAATAAATATTATAGTGCAAATTTGCAAAATAACTGCATATGCATCAAAATAAACTATTTCCAGCAGTGCAATATGAGTCTTAAGCATCCCAGAAATGACACAGAAAGTCATAAAGTCAAACATAACTTTTTAAAACACATAACAAGTAAAACACAAGCTCATAAGGCCCCGATCGTAAAAAAACTACATTTCCGCAAAATGACGTCACTTCCGGTTTCGGGCAGGTCATGCGGTCATGTGATAGTTCACGCTGATGGACGTAGGAAGTGTTACAAACAGCTGATGGATCGGCGAAGCGTGTTTCTGGAATATTATGTTTTTGTTGCTGCAAGTGATTTTTATGCAGTTTTTGCAAAGCTATATGTGGAAGGAAACTGTGACCTAGGACAAGCTGATGGCATAAGATGTAAGTACAACTCCTCCAGTTTCATATGCAAAAAAATTATTGCGCTAGCTTACTTGGTTGCAGAGCTACCGGGATTTAAAAATAGTTACGCAAAACAGAGCATGCCCGCTCCGATCGGCTGTAAAGGGTTAAATACCTTCTTCAGGAACAAAAGGCAGTACACAGCTGTTTCACACCTTATGGTTCACACCCCCTTGCTAACTCCCAGAGTCATCAAAGAGACAAAAGATTCTTCCTGTGGAGTTGTCTGCTTCCCCCAACTTCCTTACTAGACCCCCACTATTTGGCTTACTGTATGAGTGTGAGACATGTTAAAATCCAGTGGCACCAAGGCATTATACAATAAAATAATGTGATTAATACATAAGTAGAATATATTCCTATACAGGTCATAGGTCAAATGTGATATGATATTTGAAAATTTATATGGAAATTTCTATATGTTCGCCTCTGTCAGTGCGCCCCAGGGTGGCTGTGGCTACAATGTAGCTTACCATCACCAGTGTGTGAATGGGTGGATGACAGGTTGTGTAAAGCGCTTTGGGGTCCTTAGGGACTAGAAAAGCGCTATACAAATACAGGCCATTTACCATATGTTGATAATACCTACTAGACCTATAAGAATCATAGTTTCTGAGTTATATTACTTTTTGTCAATTTTCAACCAATAAATCATTAAGTTGATCTTGAAAACCTTGGGGGCTGTTAATATGGCCACACATTATACCCCTGCAAAGTTTTATCGGTATTGATTCAAACGTTTTCAACCCATCATGTTTACAGACAAAATGACATGAATGCATGCACACAAACACTACCAAAACCATAACCTCCCTGGCAGATCTAATTATTAAATAACTGGTTCAAGAAGTCCTCAAGAAGTGCTGACGAGGACATGCAGTTGTTAATATGAATTCCGAAGTGTCTATTAGATAAGGATGATGCAAACCATTTCAGAGCTTGTCATTACTGTCTCTTCAGACTATGTGCCTGTAATGTCTCAGAGAGAAGCTGTAGAGTTCTGTCTTCAGTTCTCAGCTCCCAATCCTCTAGATTGAGAGAACTGGACCTGAGTAACAACAACCTGAAGGATTCAGGTGTGAAGATCCTGTCTTCTGGATTAAAGAGTCTGCACTGCAAACTCAACACTCTTCGGTAAAAATTATTTAGCTTCTTTAAATAAAAGCCATTTATTTTAAAATATCTTATCTGGTCTTACTCATATTAACTTTTTTTTCCATCCTTGAACAATAAGAAATGAGGAGAGGTTCCGTTTTTGTTTTTTTGTTGTTGTTTTGTTTTTCCCAGATATTGCACAGTCCTTGATGTAATCTAACTGGGTTAAATTAATAGTAACATCTGGGGAATTCAATACTGATATGTACTTCAATTTTAGCTGAAGATTCAAGGGACCCAGTAGCTAGTGGCAGACAAAACTGCATAACAAAAGCAGCTGATCTAAGATTAATGATACTATTTTTTTAAATACTTGAAACTTGAATATCGTCCATTTTAAGTGAACGTGTTATTCTCCTTAGCACAAGGAAATGTGGCAAAAAGAAACTGTGTGAATCTATTAACGTATGTCCTTTTAAAAACAAAAAATTAAACCTTGTTTCTCTTTGCGACCTTTGTGGTTGCATTTATGTAGTTACTTATGCTACAAGCCACACTACAAAACCAAATCAAAGAACAGGACTTACTGTAATTTAGCTACATACATTACCTCCTGTGTTTTGTTTGGTTTTCCTTTTTTTGCATTATTGTAAACTAATCTTAAATTTTCACAGGAATATTTATTGCTCATTCAGCATGAATATGTTGCATGTATAGAAAATGCAAATCAAAGACAAAAATGTGAACCACAGTGAATTTTGAGTGACAAAAGCCTGATATGGATAGTTTACAATTAGACAGTTGAAACACCCTAGTGTTAGATTAGTGCCCTAAAAGTGTCTGTCTTCTGATGTTCTGTGCAGACTGTCAGGCTGTCTGATCAGAGAGGAAGGCTGCATTTCTCTAGCCTTAGCTATTAGCGCCAACCCTTCTCATCTGAGAGAGCTGGACCTGAGGTACAACCATCCAGGAGAGGGAGGAGTGAAGCAGCTGAAGCAGCGGAGATGGGAAACTCTCAGGTATGGAGAGGCCTGGTGCAGCCACAGGCAGGACAGTGGAATAGTCTTGACTGTAGATGTGGATATGATAGTGTAACTCTGTGTTAGTTCTGTGCATGTGTGGTAATCTGTCCAGGGTGTTTTACACCATGTCCCTCTTTGATAGCCCCAAATTCAATAAGCTGTTAAGAAACTAAAAATGATGGGTATACAGTAGGGGTGGAGCCGAACCCGAATACAGTATTCAGAAAGGCACAAATAACGTGTTTTTTACAAATATTTATTTCGAACAAATACTTTAAAATATATATTTGTATTCAGGAACAAGGGAAAACTTTAAATCAAAAATCTGAGTTTCCTTATAAGACCGCAGTGCATGTGGGTGACGTGTGAAAGAGGTGACTGACACTGGCTGCTCCACACAGCAACAGAGAAGGCTCGGCTGAGCAAAAAAAGACTGAACTGCATCACTATTTTTGTTGAATAGATTTTTTTGTACCTCACCTGGGTTCTGGAGGCAGTTTATAACTTTTGCGAAGATCAGTAGATTATTCCATTACACTGCATTATTGACGTCTGCAGTCGGGTCGGGTGGTCTCATGTTTGCTCTGTTTACGTAGCTCTGTTAGTTCGGTAATTTAGACAAAAGGCCGTTGACAGAGTAACGTTAACGTTTGGTTAAAAAGGTTAAAACAATGCTTGTGTAGTTGTGTCAAATTGTATGCACTTACGCGAGTTGCATGGTACGTTTAAGTTACTTTGTCTTTTGCAGACAGCAAGATATAGGCTATAGGCCAGTTAACCTTAGCATAGCTTCGCGTCACTCGTTAACTTAGCTGAAACTCCCCACATGGATTTGGGCAACCAAATAGAAAAGAGTGTGGCTGCTGCTGAGCCATCTCTTGGTCCTCCACCAGGCAAAAAAACTCAAGTTCTGTGTGGAAGCATATTACAGTCAGTGCTGCAGAAGAAACCAAAGTGATATGTGTGCAAAAGTCAAATCAGCAGACGCAGAAATATCAAACATCTGTCAACCTCTGCCATGGATAATCACATGCACTTAAAGCATCCACTCTTGATACGGTCTGCCAACCCCCCCACAAGCACCAATTCATCATCATAACCATGTTCTGCCCCTGCGAGTCAGTTTCGCTGTCTGTTCAGCATCCTCCAACAAGGACAGGTGGTGGTGGTGGTGGTGGGGGGGCTTCATAATGTTTGCAATGGTATTTTATTAGTTGTTGGTTTAACCCTGGATGAGGCCATGGCTGTTATGTTATTTTCACTTCAATTATGTTACATGTTCATTGCTGGATTTATGGAAAAACATCAACTAATACTGCATATCCATAATTATTATAATGGATGTAATTAAAGAATACTTACACTATAATGTTTATTTGAAGTGTAACACAAAAAAATGGATTTTTACACCTATTTTGAACTTTACTCGGATACAAATACAAATACTTTCCCCCCCTCAACAAATATAAATACCGGCTGCTTTGCACATCTCTCGTATACAATAAAGCTGGCTCATTATGTCTAGTCTATATATTCAGATTACACTTAATTGGTTCATTTGTTATGCACTCTGAACACGACAAGAAAAACTGTTGTTGCTATTCTTAACTCATAGAGAAAGTGATTTGAAGCCCTTCTTCTACATCTGAATTTTGTTGTTGGATAGTAGGGGACAAACTTGGAAAAAACTGGTTATTAATATAAAAAAATCAACAGAGCTATGGCCATTTGTACGTAATAAAACAGACTGAACTGGTATGAATTTTTCTATTTTGTAACAGTTCAGAAGTTTTTTTATTTTCTAAATTATTTATTTTTAACATTTTACCGGTAAATGTAAGTTTATATTAAAGAACAACTTACATTCCTTAAAAATGTGTGTAATGTCCATGTGTGCATGCTGAAAGAGACTGTGCTGGTCTGACCCCCCTCCTCCTTTCAGGGTCATTCTGGAGCCTGCTGGAGAACAATGGTTGAGACCAGGTCTGAGGAAGTGTAAGTGTGTTTTTAATGTGATTCATGAAAACATTCAACCATCTTCAAACTGTCACATCACTCATTCACATCTCTGATGTCAGGAGTCATTATCAAAGTGTCAATCAATGAACAGATGATGGATCAATAACTGGAACTGGATTGTGTTTGTTCTCTCCATCAGATTCCTGTCAACTCACAATCGACACAAACACAGTAAACAGAGAACTTAAACTCTCTGAAAACAACAGGAAGGTGAAACGTGTGGTGGAGAATCAGTCATATCCTGATCATCCAGACAGATTTGATGACTGTCCTCAGCTGCTCTGCACAGATTCTCTGACTGGTCGCTGTTACTGGGAGGTCGAGTGGAGAGGAGACATTGAAATATCAGTGAGTTACAGAGGAATCAGAAGGAAAGGACACATAACAGACTGTGGGTTTGGATCAAATGGTCAATCTTGGAGTCTGAGGTGCTCTGACAATGGTTACTCTGTGTGGCACAGTAAGCGGCACATGCACATCTCTTCTTCTTCATGCTTCTCGTCTGTTACTAACAGAGTAGCAGTGTATGTGGACTGTCCTGCTGGCACTGTGTCCTTCTACAGAGTCTCTGACATTTTGATCCACCTCCACACCTTCAACACCACATTTACTGAACCGCTTTATCCTGGATTTAGGTTAAGGTCCAACCCTGATTCCTCTGTTTCTCTCCCCCTGTTAGGCAAAATTTAGACTGTTACAAAAAAACAAAGATGCTCCAGTTATTCCAAGATCAACATATTGCTTCTCTGTCTTTTTCCACTTAAAGCTTTACAGTCAACATCAGTATGTTGTGTTTCTCTTCTCTTAAGCTGATATGCTTCAGTTTTTGTGAACAGACACAAAAATTGCTTAACTTTGTATCAACTGCAGCCCTGCACCAGTAGTGAATTGAAAGCATGGAAGCATGGATGTAGCAGCCCCTATTGAAAAAGTCAGACATTGCACCAACTCCTGCCAAAGTTCCATCAAAATTTCCTGCTGTTTGGCTTAGTTAGAGTAGTTATTTTGTAATTCGTGATTGATCAGTAATATACTAAATAATAATGGTTTTTTGTCTTTAAATAATACCAAAGATCGTGTTCAAATGATATTACTTAGAATAGAATAGAATAGAATAGAATAGAATAGAATAGCCTTTATTGTCTTTTTTTTTTTTTTTTTTTTTGCCTGTCCCGTTTGGCTCTTTTGCCATCAGAATTGTTGTCTAAAGGCAAAGAAAGATGCCCAACGGATTTACTTTACCAAATTGACCATCCCAGCCTTGCCGTAATGGTCAATTTGATTCACCTTTTATTGTTCATTTTATTTTCACTTACTGAATACGGGACAGACTTGACTGGGGGAAAGAAGGGGAGAAAGAAAGAGGGAAAGAGAAACAGCTGAGAAGAGGGACGGGGGAGAAGGGCAAAAGACAAAAACCAACAGAATGAGCAGAAAAAAAAGAAGAAAAAAAATGCATATATCAATCACCTGGGTCACCTGCTGAGAAAGAAAAAAGAAAACAAGCAGAAGAGAACAAGAGTAATAGAATAAACAACATCACAATGATATATGGGAATATGACAGTAAATACTAAATATTAAACATTATTGTGCAGCACATAAGATCAACAGAACACAGTGTGCTTTGAGGTAGGAGCCAAAAAGGGTGTAGTTTGTGGGTGTGATCACCCGTGTGTACACCTGTGAGCATGGACGCGCTTGTTTTTTGTTTTTTTAAAAGGTTCCTTCATGTAATAATCTGCTAGAGGGTGTGGGGGGGCCACAGCCCCGTCCTCCAGGGCATGAAGCAGGTATGGAGGAGATCAAAACTCCAGACATCCAGAGGCCCCCAGAACACAAGAGACCAAGGAAGACCAACAGAGGGGCAGCCGCGCCACTGTCCCAGAAAGAGCTGAGGAGAGTCCCAGATGAGGGCTCACTCAGCAGCCGCGGAGCAGAAGCCAGGGGGAGTTGCAGTGACGCGCCCGTGAGCTCCGCCGGCAGCCAGCTGCGCCTGAGTGACCGAGCCCCAGGCCGAGAGGCCGGGGGCACCCCACCTCCGAAGTGGCCCGAGCGAGCCCCAGGCTCCAGGCCCCGATATGCGGACACCAAGGAGTGAGCCGGTGTGTACCTGGACGCCCATCCCCGGATAGCCTTTATTGTCATTGTACAGAGTACAACGAAATTGGAGTGCCACTCCCTTGGTGCAAGTTTCAATAATAAATATAAATGTAAAATATAAAAAGTACAAAAAAACAATCGTAAGTACTCAAACAATAGTATGTACAATATATGTACAATATATGCTCTTTATTGCTAATAAAGAGGGGTTTCCAAATATCATTAAGCTGTAATTTCATACAAACACCTTTTGCTGCCAAATCAGAATGTGTTTTGGAAATTGGGTTCCTAAGCCTGGTGAAATACTCCATTTATTTTAATATTTTTCAATAACATACATCAGCCTGTATGTCTTAACTCCTGTCTCAAAGGGGACCACCGGTGTTCTGAGACTGCCATGCCTTTTTTCTGTTTTCATAATGAATTCGCTTGCTTATTTGTGTCCCTCACTGGATGTATTATAATGTGACAATACTGTAGGAGTGATTTTTTTGGGTTGTTATCTTATGCATGCTGTTAGTGGTCACGTTTGTGTTTTTTCTTTGGTGATTGTATTAAAGGTAGATGCACATAATTTTTTTTTCTTTTCTTTTCTTTTTTCTTTTTTGTGTCCCGTTTGGATCTTTAGCCATCAGAATTGTTGTCTTAAGGCCAAGAAAGATGCCAAGCGGATTTATTTTACCAAGTGGATCATCATGGCCTTGCCATATTGGTCCATTTGATTGACCTTTATTATAATTATGAATTTATTTTATTTTCAGTTGCTACAAACGTCACTGGGGGATAGGACAGGGAGAAAGAATGAAAGAAAGAGAGGGAGAGAAAGAAAACCAAAGGGGAGAGGAGACGGTGAGAGGGGGGGGAAGAAAGAAAAAAACAAAAAAAAACAAACAAACACCTGGATCACCTGTATGGAGAAAAAAACAGAAGAGAAAGCAAACAACAAAGAGCAACATAATAAAAAAAACCGCACCATCACAATAAACTAGCTAGCAGTAGATAACAGTAGATACTAAATAATAAACGATATTGTGCAGCACGCAAGATAGACAGCGCACAATGTGCTTTGAGGCAGCAGCCAAGAAAGGTGTAGTCCGCGTCTGTGAACACCCGTGTGTACACCTGTGTGCATACCTGTGTGGATCAGCATACTTGTATTCCAAAGGTTTCTCCATGTAACGATCTGCTAGGGAGTGTGGGGAGCCATAGCCCCGTCCACCAGGGTATGAAGCAGGTATGGAGGAGATCCAGGCCCCAGACATCCAGAGGCCCCAGAGTACAAGGACCCGAGGAGGACCACCAAAAGGGGGGGAACCGTGCCACCCTCCTGGGAAGAGCTGAGTAGAGCCCCAAAGGAGAGGTCACCCCGCAGCTACGGAGCAGAGGCCAGAGGGGGTTGCAGTGGCGTGCCCATGAGCTCTGCCGGGAGCCAGCTGTGCCAGAGAGGACCGAGCTTCAGGCCCAGAGGCCAGAGGCCTGAGGGCATCCCACCCCCCGGAAGGAGCCCAGCCAGGCCACAGGCGCCCGGCCCCACCAATCGGCCATCAGGAGTGAGCCGGTACATACATGAGCGCCCAGCCCCAGACGGCAAGGACCACCAACACACCAACGTCTGAGGGCATCAGCCACCTGCAGGGAGTGTGGTGAGGGGAGATAGGCCTCCGTACTTTAGAAGGCCTGAGATGTACCCAGAGAGGTTGAGTCTAAGACCCAACCTGGCATATAGACACAGACGAACAGGCGCACGCGGACACAAACATGCATTCCTACCCCCATATACACAACCAAATACTCGACACTCACCCAACATGTAGACAGACACAAATAGACACTGCACAGACAGTCACACTCCCCAAACATACTCTATATCCCAAGTCCAGGTACCCCCGCCCCCAGAGGGGCAAGCGGACCACTTCCTTATCTGCAGTAGCAGGGAGGCCCTGCATCCCAGACCCCAGTCTGACGGCCAGCACCTCCTCCCAGCCCCCCAGCCCTGACGGCTAACAGAACCGGGGTGAGTGAAGACCTCAAACATAACTTATTATGTTTGAGACTAGATGCACATAATTAACGCCAGGTGTGTTGTTGATTGCGAGGAAGCAAACAGTTTGTGACCGCTGCACTGTTATGTTAAATCATGTTGGAATAAAGAATCTAAAGGACAAGATAAGTATGGCTGGAGTTATTGGACTGTATCAAGTTTAATAAGTTAATGCATACCAGTGACATCGCGTCACCCCTGCCAAGAAACACCTCAGTGGCTTCAAGTGTAAGCTTAGCCTTTACAAATACAAATGGGTTATTAGCTAAAGGACTTTAGTTTAAATTGTTAAATAAAACTGTAAAATAGATGTTACAGTCTGTTATTAACCCTCTGTGACGACACTATCAAAGGGACTTCTTCTGATGCTTTATTTGACATGTAACTTCTAACACTTGAAAGCTGTAAGTGTAGCAGTAGTAGTTTCTTCACACTGCTTTCCATAAAGATTTAATAAAGAATTAAAGAAAGAAGAAGAAAATTTGATTATAATTTGTGCTGTCTTGCCTGTAACTTCTCCACAGTATGCCTTTTGTCCTGTCCTCCTCACATCCTTCCCAAACCAGCGATGGCAGCTGCCTGGTTCTGCTGGAGAGTTCTTCCTGGTGTTGCCAAGCACTTGTTCATAGTGAGCTGCCTGATCATTGGTGTTTTCTCTGTATTATTGTACATATAAATATTAAGCACCTCAAAGTGAAGAATAAAATAAAGTGAATAAATAAAATTCAATTGAATTGAAATGATCTGATTATGGGAAGAAGTGACGGCAGGTAGTGAATTAATAATGAACACTAATTATTAATAGGAATATTTCAAGGTTCCCTTACAGATATTATTTCATTATAAAATGCGTTTGTGGTCATAGCTGATTAGTCCTCATCAGAATGAAGTTTATTTTATTTGGCAGCAGTTGGCGCTAATGCGCCGGTTTCTAATAGCCAAAGAAGAAGACCACTGGTAGAGCAGCTGGATTTTACACCGTGTGCTCGGGACTGTAAGTTTTCCCTTATTTCAACTGTATGCTCGCTGTCAGAGAAGTGTCTGCTTTCACTCTGCTACACATAGAATCAGCAGAAAGCCGCCGCTCGGCTCTTCCAGTGACTTTGGTAACTTTAGTCGGGGCGGAGCATTTCCAGCTGGTTTCCGTTATATGAGGCAACACAGCCATTTTCCCCAAATAACTCTAACGACCGCTGTTTTTAAATACCACAACCTCAGTCACCCCAACCACTCACAACTTTAAAAGACAGCTTACATCTGTCGGTAAATAATAAAATCTGTTTCTGTTTACTTTCTGTTTCCCGTCGGGATGTTAATCCTTACATACTTTTCAGGTCAAGTTTGAGAGCAGGTTCATTGTGTGTCAAATTCCTGCGTGTCTTATGTTGGCCGTGTGAGAAGTTATGTTTACAACACTTTCACTTTAAGGAGGATGTTGTTAATGTTAATTACAGAATTACAAAATCATGCGTGTTGTTATGATACTTGTGTCATGATATGAGTGAACAGTTGTTGTTTAAGGTGCAGTTCATGTGGAAGCCACCGGAGGGTGGTGTGGAGATAATAAAAAAGTGATGGCTAAAACCTAAGACGGTGTCATGTCTGCTCCCTGAAGTAATATCGTAACAACTTGTAGTGATGGAGTGTTGCCAGCTGTGGGCGCAGCGGCATCCACGCTGGCCTTTGAGACGCTGCTCTCGAGTGAATGCTGGTTATTACTTAGGTGGACCTCAGAAGCGCTCTATACAGGAGGGCAAAAGTAAAAGTTTGAGGTTTAATGATGTTTTTAATTACAGTAGGATGGCGTCAGCAGGTCATGACGTCATTGTGACGTGGTAGGGCGTCATATTGAAAATAATTAGTGTTTTACAGCCCTTTCAATGGACTTTCATATGCTATATTGCTCAATATGGTTAAAAATCAAGGTAACCTTTGACCTCGAACTTTGACAAAGTGAACTTTGACCTAACAGTGAAGGTAAAGGTCAAATGGTCATTCCTTATTTTCACATACATTTTCATTTAAATTATTATGCCTGTCATGTTTTCATGTCTTAGGTGAAACAGGGCATGATATTATGGGATAGTAGATGTTTTTTCCTTCTAAACAAAGTGTTGTACAGTCTCCCTTCTTTCTTCTTGTAATAATGTCAGACATGCTATTTATACATTCAAATCCATAGCTCAAGATTTGTTGCAGACATGATGTGGGAAACCTGTAGGGTATCTGTTTTTGAAGTTTCCTCCTTATCAGTCAAAAACAGGTGATGCATGTTCACAGATTTTAGTTACTCACTGTTGGAGGGATTTATAACCCACTGACCCTAAAGGCTGGTCAGTTTAGAACAGCAGACCCTTCATTCAAACACAGAGGGTGTGTGAGAGATTAGATTAGAACTAGATACTCGTGTCATTAAATGCATCCTGTATGTTCTGGGATGATTTGTGTTTCCTCTCCAGGTAAAGGTAGAAAGTGTGTGTGAGCTGATGTGGATGTGAATTCAGCAGCATGGATCAGTGTGAGGACAGAGAGGAGGGAGTCCCCCCCCTCTAAAACCACTCTGTGTGGGGAACATGAGAGCCAGACCACAGCTCAGAGGTGAGATGACCATCTCTAACTGTCCATGACTCTTCTCCATGTCACAGCTCAGCACTCACATCACTGCTCCATCATTATTCACAGGAACCAACCTGGACCTGAACCCAGCTGTGTGTCCTTAAAGAGTGATGCCTCAGTTGAACGCCACATTGAATTTAAACAACAACCCTCTGCTGCAGGGAGGTAAACATGAACATGGGCTTTTTTGGGTCTTATTTACATGACAGAGTTTAATAGTTTACCACAAGTTTAAAATGACAAATACAATTTAAAATATTTAAGAAAATTTTTTAAAACGATACAAACACAGTTATTGAAGAATTGAAGAGGTAAATCATCTAAAACAGCTACCCACAGAATCTGAATGGTTCCTGTTCCTGTTAAATTAACCAAGTGTTAACAAAGAATACAGTTTAGGAACTAAAACAGATCTTCTGAGCTGAGGACAGACTTCAGAGACCTGGAGTATGATTCTGTCACTGAAATGAGTTTGAGGTGGTCTATAGGACCAGGTAGCATAGAACTGATATACAGTGGCAGCTTCCTGATACAGAGATTGAACAAAGACAAGTAAAATGTGTCTATCATGTCTTTTAGATGTAAAGAAAGGCTTTTTTAAATCCAAAGTAGAGATGAGTACTGCTACCATCAGCGGTGCTAGCAGCAGCAGGTCATCGGCCTCACGTCTGTGTTTTTATCATTCTGCTCAGGTGGTTACAGTCGACATACAAACCTTCATTTTCTTTATATGCTTGTTAGCACAGACGGCCTCTACCTTATATTCCACCTGCTGAGTAGCTGATCGATATCTTAGGACGACACTTATTTGGCTTTGTTCATTACTGAAGTATGATGAATTAGTTTAAGTGACTTGAATTTCTTTTTCCACTCAGCGAGGTCAGCAGCTTTTATTCTTCCACTAAAACAAATGTGATGCCTTTCTAATTTGTTTCCAACCATTTCATTATACAGTAATTGTTAACTTACCCATATTACACAAACACTGTGAACTAGGGCTGCCACGATTCCTCGAGTAGTCACGATTACGTTGACGACTAATTTAATAGTTGACGCGTCTTTTGAAGCTTTGTAAGATGCTGAAAGACGCCGGAATAAGTAGGATTTAAGAGTGTAGTAACGGACTGAAACAAAAGATGGCAGCAATGCATTTACAAGGATGCCAGCTGCTGTTAAACGCCAAAGAAGAAGCAGTCTGTGTCCAAATTCAGAGGCCGCATTTGTAGGCCGATTATGTTACAGCGACGCGACAAAGGCTGTCCAAACTTGAAGACTTCTCCATATGCGGCAGGCAAATGCGTCCTTAATTTCCCCCAGATCTGAAGGATTGGTCGGGTGTATCATTCGTGACACAACCTATCCCAGAATTCATAGCGCGGCTCAGTCAATTCCAGTTTCCAACAATGGCGGCAGCTACTTAGGTTTAATGTTACTGTTATTACTCTTTCTGGGTTGCAAAATAAAGTTTTCAGATATTTTCAGGCGAGAATGTAGCTGTGTAAACTTCAAATATTTGCTCAATTTATCAAGACATCACACATTTGCAAAAGTGATCTGACGTTTTCATAGACGAGCTGGCCGGGGGGTCAAGGTTCAACTCCCGGCACATTGTTTTCAAACCGTCCGCGGTCTTTCGCTACTAAGGTTTAACATGATACAGTATAAGTCACTTAGATAACTTAAAAATGCTATTGCTTGGCTTTTTTCAGTGTTTTGTTTGTTCCTGAGTAAACCGGTTTAGCTGAGATTAAAGTTTTAGTTTTCACACAGTTGAATAAACGTCAAACAGAAAACCAATTAAACAGAAGTGTGAGATGGTAGAGAATTTACTCCAGTGTCCTGTAATATTTTAGATAGCAAGGAGCAGACGGCTGAGTTTATTAAACTCCACCAAGACAATCTGCAAATTTCATTAAAAGTTTAATAAACCATCATCTTATCTTTAGTTTTGGTTAGCACATACCTTAAACACTTTAAACACTAAGCTAATGATAGTTATATAAGAGCAGATGCATGCTGGTGCAATATCCTGTACATTTTATGTCCAATGGATCTAATTAGTCGACTAATCGCAAAAATAATCAGTGACTAGTCGACTATCAAAATAATCGTTTGTGGCAGCCCTTTTGTGAACCATGTAAACCAGCACAACATGATCTCAGATTCAAAGGTAACCATCAGAGGAGGAGCAAAGCCAGCAGGAATCATCAGCTGAGCGTTTTTTTGTCGTCATCAAACGAGTACAAACTACTGCAAACAAAGAAAGTTGTTAGTGTAGGAAGAATGCCTTTCTTGTTAGCTTCCTCCATACTATGTAAACTGTTAAAAACTCTGTATTTTGAACATGAACCTGAGCACAGCTACATCTCCTTGAAGACTGCTGCCTCAGTTGAACATCATATTGATGTTATTAGAAAGCAGGATGAGAGTGAGACTAGAGCTCAGATGTGAGTTGACCATGTCTAACTGTCACAAACTCTCTGACCTCCATGGCACTGCTGAGCCCTCAAATCAATGCACCGTCTTTATTTACAGAAATACAGTTAGGACTACAGCTGGATCTGACCCCAGTCCTGAACCTAGCAATGTGTCCTTGAAGAGTACTGCCTCGGCTGAACGGGTCATTGAATTTAAAGGACAGCCCTGTACTGCGGAGAGGTAAACATGAGCTTTGCTCCACATACAGTGCTCCGAAATGTCTTAACAAAGGAATATGTCAATTTTTCAACATGAGCTCAGCTTGATGTGTTTTTGTTTTTAGTGAAAGTCAAAGAAGAAAAAACTAAAACACGGCTGATGACGGAGTTTATGAGTCTAGTGTGTGTTTGAAATGAAAAACAGATTTACGAACATGTTGAAAAAAAGAAAAGCTCAGAAAAACCAAGTTAATAAAGAGTTAACTGCATTAAGGACGCTGTGTAAATGTACATAAAATTTGTATTTGATCATTTTTAAATCTCATAAATCCACATCTTATTTACAATTGAATACAGACAACATATAAAATCTTTAAATAAGCCAATGTACCATTTTAAGAAGAGCAGTAGCTCATTTTGAATTTGATGGCAGCAGCACAGCCCAGTGGAACAAGGTTGCCACTGTGTAGAACTCTCTCTTCTTTACACAACAGTCCATAAACATCTGGGACCAGTTGCTGGACCTTTGGGAGAGCAATGGTGTCTCATTCTTGTTTGATATAGTATTTTCGCTGCTCAACAGCTCCAGGTCTTCTTTGTCATATTTTTCATTTTATGATGCACCAAAGGTTTTAGTTGTTTGAAGATCTGGACTGCAGGTAGGCCAGCTCTACATTCAGGCTCCTCTAAAACCGTTTAGCACTGATGGTGCCTTTAAGATTTGCAAGCTGCGAGTTCCATAGGCACCAGTGCACGCCCACACATCAGAGGCTCCGGCTGTCAAACTGAACACTGATACCAAGCTGCATGTTTTTTCCCCCTCTTTAGTCTGGGGGATGAAAGATCCATGTCTTCCAAAAAGAATGTCAAATTTTCTTTTGTCTGATGACAGAACAGTTTTCCACTTTTCCTCAGTCCATTTTAAATAAGCTTTGGCCCGGAGAAAGCAGTGCTATTTCTGGATTATTTTCACTTCTTACTTATTTTTTTGCATGAAAAGCTTTAACCTGCATTTGCGTATGCCATGGGGAAGTGTTCCTTAGCTCATCCAGTGATTTTCATGACAGAGTCATGCCTACACTGCAAAAACTCAAAATCTTACCAAGTATATTTGTCTAATTTCTAGTCAAAATAATCTCATTACACTTAAAATAAGAAAGTCAGCTAGAGAGTAACATTTAAGTTAGATATAGAAACTTGTTTTTAGACAGTGCATCTTGGACCTGGAGAATTTTCACTTGTTCCATTGGCAGTTTTTTCACTTAATACAAGATATTCTTGCTTGAAATAAGTGAAATAAATCTGCGAATGAAACAAGTGATGATCTTCCATTGGCACCCTACGATGATGCAGTAGATGATGAGATAGTCACAGACTTCACAAATTTACATTGAGGAACATTATTCTGAAATTGTTCAGTAATTTGTAGATGCATTTTGTTGCAGACCAGTAAACTCTGCCCATCTTTATTTCAGAGAAACTCTGCCTCCCCAAGATGATATTTATTTCATTAATTAACTAATTATTGTACAATGGTTCTGTTTTTTTTTTTGTTTTTTTTTTAGCACCACTTACTTTTTGTCACAATCATAACTTAAAAAAAACATTTTTCCTAATCCTGGGTCTTTGATCCAGAGTTGTGAGGTTTTGTAATGAATTCTTGCTTATTATTTAAAGTTCTGTTTGTTATCTAGTTTTTTTAATTGTTACATTCAATTGTTATGTTTCTCCTTTATATCTTGAGGTTTCTGGCTGTTTATTTCCAGTAGTTGTTTTGGCAGGATACATAGATTCTTGTGCTATTTTTTAGCCTTGTGTTCGTCTGCGTTAAGTTTGAGTGTTTTCTCAGGTAATTCCTGCATATTTATTTGTATTATTAGCCTTCTCTGTCTTGTTTGTAGTTCAACATCTTTAGTGCTGCAGAAATGTGCTGGTTAGCAAAGCTGCCTTATATTCCACCTGTTGAGTAGCTGATTGACATCTTAGGATCAATACTTAGTTGGCTTTGTTTATTACTGAAGAATGATGGTTTAGTTTAAGTGATTCGAATGTATAACAAGTGTGATGCCACTTTTATGGATTTTTAACCATTTTATTATACAGTAGTTGTTAATTTACACATTTACACAGAAAATAGAAAATATATCAAATGTTTAAATGACAAAAATGTGTCATTTGAACAAGAACAGTTGCTCATTTTGAATTTGATAGCAGCAACACAATATATATATATATATATAACTTGTATACTTGTATGGGCAAAGTGTATAAAAATCACTTGCCAAGCATAAAACTGAATGAAGCCAATTCTTGAAATTTTCTTTACAGTGTCACCAGGTCAGATGTTCCCACTGGTCCGACTGTCCCGCAGGATAAAAAACACCTGGACTCCATATTTAAGGTCTGTACGTTTACAATTACTTGTTTTTTTCTGTTCATTTCATTGTAAGTTTTTCAATTTTTCACAAAGAATAAAATTCAAAAGAAAAGCTTAATAATTTGATTTAGCTCCTGATGGAACTTTATTCAGCCAGAAACTCCACATAAGGACTACAAACAGATTGAATTAGATTAAAACTAGGAGAAAGTTTATTTGCACTTTCAGTTAAGCTAATGTTAACTAACTTTAGCAGGGAGAAAGCAAGTTTTATCGATTGAAGACTGGGTGTGGGCTACCAGGAATTTGACTGACGTGGCTTTCTTCTGGCTGACGTTAGCTAATGCTCTTTTTGCTAGTATGGACACATTTCAAGGTGTCTAATGTAACAAAATGAGGTGGATAAAGTCAGCTGATCATTCCAATCCTATGTTGCTCATCTGGATGATAAAATATCTTGCCAATATTTTGTAAGTTAATAATAATAAGTAACCGTTGACTGATTTATGTAATGTTGTTAAATTATAAGTGGTTGTAAATGTTATTATATGCAAAACAATTAATGAATCGAAATCCTAGTTGTCTTATCTTCTAAATACTTTACCAGGTAATATTATCCATGATAACCACACATCGATTATGTGGTTATTGTTCGTATAGTCTATTTACAACTTACTTAAATATTTAGTTATCCTTTTTTAGAGCTTTGGATTGTGAATATAACCAGAACTTCAGAGAATATCAAGGTTCTGTTCTTTTTCCAGCACACCAGTGCTGATTCGCCATGTCCCTTTTCACTGTAGGAGAAAAACAAGGTAGCCGGTAAGTCCGGTCAGGAGAATCACTTCACCGGAGAGGCATAAAACATATATTGTATCAGTAGATACTGTTATAATTGTGTAAAAAGCAATCATGGCTAATGCTTGCTTGCTTCAATATAAAGGGCAATAAAGAAAGAACTAGACCATTACATTAAAAGTATGTCCAACATATAGCTGATGCATGGCTGATGTTTCTCAATGATTTCAGTCTGAATGTGAATGTAGCATTCAAATAATGTTTTCCAGCTGTTGGAGGAGAACCTCAATGCTTTTGTGAAGAATGAACTGAAAAGATCCAGAAGGTTCTGAGTCCAGATTACATAAAGAGTCAGGCAGAGGAGTTGTTGCAGGGTGACCATGAGATGGAGAGGAAGAGCAGCAGCGAGGCATTTCTTCGGATCACAGCGAACTTCCTGAGAATAATGAAGCAGGAGGTGCTGGCTCAACGTCTGGAGAATAGTAAGAGGATTTCTCTAAAGATATAATAAGTGGTAGACCATTTTATTATTATTACTATTATTATTTATATTACATAAATGTTGTTTGTGTATTCTTTTAGGATTCCCCATCATGTGTCAGAATAAACTTAAATCTAACCTGAAAAAGAAGTTCCAGTGTGTGTTTGAGGGAATTGCTAAAGCCGGAAACCCAACCCTTCTGAATCAGATCTACACAGAGCTCTACATCACAGAGGGAGGGACTGCAGAGGTCAACCAAGAACATGAGATTAGACAGATTGAAACAACATCCAGGAAATCAGACAGACCAGAAACAACAATTAGACAAAAAGACCTCTTCCAGACATCTGGAAGAGATAAGCCAATCAGAACAGTCCTGACAAAGGGAGTGGCTGGCATTGGAAAAACATTCTTAACGCAGAAGTACATACTAGATTGGGCTGCTGAAAAAGCCAACCAGGACATCCAATTCATGTTTCCATTCACTTTCAGAGAGCTGAATTTGTTGAAAGACAAAAAGTTCAGCCTGGTGGAACTTGTTCATCACTTCTTTACTGAAACCAAAGAAGCAGGAATCTGCAGCTTTGAAGACTTCCAGGTTCTGTTTATCTTTGATGGTCTGGATGAGTGTCGACTTCCTCTAGACTTCCACTACACAGAGACCCTGACTGATGTTACAGAGCCCACTGCAGTGGGTGTGCTGCTCACAAACCTCATCAGAGGTAAGCTGGTTCCATCTGCTCGAATCTGGATAACCACACGACCTGCAGCAGCCAATCAGATCTATCCTGAGTGTATTGACATGGTGACAGAGGTTAGAGGGTTCACTGAACAACAGAAGGAGGAGTACTTCAAGAAGAGATTCAGAGAAGAACAGGCCAGCAGGATCATCTCCCATATCAAGACATCACGAAGCCTCCACATCATGTGCCACATCCCAGTCTTCTGCTGGATCACTGCTACAGTTGTGGAGGATGTGCTGAAAACCAAAAAGAGGAGAGAGTTGCCTAAGAACTTGACTGAGATGTACATCCACTTCCTGGTGGTTCAGGCCAAAGTGAAGAAGGTCAAGTATGATGGAGGATTTGAGACAGATCCACACTGGAGTCCAGAGAGCAGGAAGATGATTGAGTCTTTGGGAAAACTGGCTTTTGATCAGCTGCAGAGAGGAAACCTGATCTTCTATGAATCAGACCTGACAGAGTGTGGCATCGATATCAGAGCAGCCTCAGTGTACTCAGGAGTGTTCACACAGATCTTTAAAGAGGAGAGAGGACTGTACCAGGACAAGGTGTTCTGCTTTGTTCATCTGAGTGTTCAGGAATTTCTGGCTGCTCTTCATGTCCATCTGACCTTTATTAAGTCTGCTATCAATCTGCTGGAAGATCAAATCTCCCAGAAGTGTGAAACAAGAGAATTTGCAGAGACACAATTCTATGTGAGTGCTGTGGACAAGACTTTAAAGAGTCCAAATGGACACCTGGACTTGTTACTCCGCTTCCTTCTTGGTCTCTCACTGAAGGAAAATCAGACTCTCCTACGAGGTCTTTTGACACAGATAGGATGTGGCTCACAGACCAAGCAGGAAAATATCCTGTACATCAAAGAGAAGATCAATCAGAATCTGTCTGCAGAGAAAAGCATCAACCTGTTCCACTGTCTGAATGAACTGAATGATCATTCTCTAGTGAAGAAGATCCAACAGGCCCTGAGTTCAGGAAGTCTCTCTACAGATAAACTGTCTCCTGCTCAGTGGTCAGCTCTGGCCTTCATCTTACTGTCATCAGAAGAAGATCTGAATGTGTTTGACCTGAAGAAATACTCTGCTTCAGAGGAGGCTCTTTTGAGGCTGCTGCCAGTGACCAAAGCCTCCTGCAAAGCTCTGTAAGTAAACAGTGGTGTTTCTTTACAATCCATTACTTAGTGGACAGTGGAGAGTATTTAATAACTTACTACACATTTTCTTATTTCCATTTTCTCTTATTTTATTTTATTTTTTTACATTTTGCAGATTGAATATCTGTAACCTGTCAGTGAGAAGCTGTGAAGATCTGTCCTCAGTTCTCAGCTCCCCGTCCTCTAATCTCAAAGAACTTGACCTGAGTAACAACAACCTGCAGGATTCAGGAGTGAAGCTGCTGGCTTCTGGACTGAAGAGTTCACATTGTATACTGGAAAGTCTCAGGTCAGTATTCACATATCTGTTACAACTCATAACATGTAGATGAATTTGTAAGACTGTATGATTTGCAAATTAATTGTTGCATATCCTTCTTTATTTTGGATATTAGTTTTATTAAGATTTTATATTATTTTCCTCTGCTTTTGCTTCTTGCTTGTGACTGTGAATTCACATTTAACCCTTTAAAGCCGGTTTTGCGTAACTATTTTTAAATACCTGTAGAACCGGAACCACGTAAGCTAGCGCAATAATATCTTTTTGCACATGAAACCAGAGGAGTTGTACTTACATCTTATGCCATCAGCTTGTCCTAGGTCACGGTTTCCTTCCACATATAGCTTTGCAAAAATTGCATAAAAAGCGCTTGCAGGAAGAAAAACATAATATTCCAGAAACACACTTTGCCAATGCGATCAGCTGTTCGTAACACTTCCTACATTGAAATAGACATCAGCGTGACCGATCGCATGTCCCCCATTACCTGCCCAAAACCGGAAGTGACGTCATTTTCGCGGAAAATGTAGTTTTTTACTTGTAGGCCTTAAAAGCCTATACTGTTTTTTTTTTAAGTCATGTTTGACATGCTTAGAACTCAAATTGCACTGCTTTAAATAGTTTATTTTGATGCACATGCTGTTTTCTTTGCAAATTTGCATCATAGGATTGTTTTTAGTTTTTTCTGCAGTATATAAAAATTGTTGTATCTCAAAAATAAAACTATGAAGACACTCAAAATAAATTTCCTGTTGTTGTAAACTATTTTTTGCAACTTCTTTGTATATAAAGTTTTGAGGGATGAACCTCTTAAATTTCTCCAAGTAGAAATATATGTAAAAAAGACAAAAACGAATTTGAAATTATTTGTAGTTTATTGCACTTTTTTGCAATTTATGCAGTTACTATGGACTTAATGCAAACATATTATTAAAATTTGGGCTATAACAGTTGTATTGATGTATAGCAACAAAAATGGCACTACAGCATGTAAAAATATAAAGTAAGCTCTGGTGGACTTGGTTCTATGGTAGGTCTTAAAGGGTTAAAAAACCTTTTAGTAATACTCTTGTCAAACACTTCACCCTTCAATACATTTAAATGTTTGAACTGTGATGATCAAATATTTTTAGACTTTTCCTTCTGAATGACACTTCGGTGACGTTCTTTTAGATATTCACTTTGTTCTCATAAAAATATAATAAGTTTGATGATTTTACTTTTCATCATCGGGTCAATATTTTGGCTTAATGAACCACAGCTCTAAGAAAACCTTTGTCTGGTGTTACTAAAGCCAACTGTGATTTGATAGCAGCCTTGAGCTAGTCTGTATTTTTATACTTTTTGTGGAAGGTGTTAATCATCATAGTCTGCACAACTGTCAACTATCAACACTGTTCTCCATGACTGTGGTTGGGTGTTACTGACCTAGACTGCTTATACAATGTTTGAATACTTTTTTACTGTAATATGACCATAGTTGAGATTTCTGATTATCATGTGCTATAAGCTACAATTATCAATGTTAAAACACAGGCTTGAAATATTTCACTTTCACTATAGAATACATACAAGTTTACCATACCACATTAAATTACAAAAAAGTATTTTCACAATATTCCAGTGTTCACATGCTGGATGGACTAGGGAACGATATCAAGTGAACTATGTTGATCTGTGAAATCAGAACCCCAGTACACGAAATCTGCCTCGGCTCTCTGTTTATAAAGTCTAGTCTCTGATCCTATGAGCATTATCCAGTTGAGAGTGCAGAGCTTAGATGGAGCCAACAGATGAGGGGATTTGCTCAGTTCTAACTGCATCTATTCTGGATGTCTATCCTTCTTATCTCTGAGGAACCCTTGTAGCTCAAGGAAGATTCCCCAGCAACACATATTAATGACAGCTCCCATCTAGATCAGTGCTCTAGGAATATGACTGGTTTTATTTTAGTGACTCTGTAAACTAAGCCACAGGGGTCTGTAACTTTTAAAAGCCTGGACTAACCTGTAAGAGCTACTAACTAATTTGGGATTAATACTCAGATTTTTAAACAATAATTAAATCACCTGAGTTATACTAAGTTAATTAACCTACTCTGAACGAATGCTGATTTCTTCTGATACTTGAGTTAAATTTATCATCAACTCATCCTCATATGAAAATCAGTTTTAACATAATTCTTTTTTAAATTCAAATACATAGGAATCATTTTTTCTTACTATTTCTCTTCAAAACTCTGTGCTTGTCAATTATACTATATAGATAACTATAGTAATAGTTTATTTTATTAGCTCATACATATGTTATAGTCAGAGATTTTTTTATATTCCCAGCTTCTCAATGTCACACACACACACACACACACACACACACACACACACACACACACACACACACACACACACACACACACACACACACACACACACACAGCCTCCAAGTCCAACTCACACACACTCTCAGTGAGAAGCAATTAAGCAGTTAAGTATGATCAACTGTCAGCAAACTCACATATGAATTATGGTTCTGTGTTTAACAATCACAACATACTTAATACCTTTTTTTTCATTCAGAATCATATATAAAGATGAGCTGGAGACACATTTTTTCTTTTCACAAGGCAGAAGCTGGATCATGTCTACACACAAAATCCAGACATTGGAGCAGACATTATAAACTGTATTGCTCATTAATCATATTATTAGACTTCGGTTATATTTTTGATTAAGATGAAGACATAGTGTTTTCAGTGGGAGAAACATTTCATCACTCACCCAAGTGACTTCTTTAGTCTCAGCTGATTGAAGGTTTCCCCAACCTTATGAACAGTACATTTGCATAACGACTGAAACTAGCACCACGGATTAAGATAATTTATTCATAGCATTCTGTATCATTTTAAACATACAAGGCTGGATGTTGAGTCCTTTTACCCTCTCTCACATGTAATTGGTGTAAGCGGGGGACCTCGTCTCTTCAAATGCTTAATAAGAACCAACTCAATGACAGATTTGAATAGGTGGAATCAAATCTGAAAACACAGCACGAGAAATGGCTTTAAAGATGAACACACAAATGACAGATATAGACTGATATATATACTGATATTTAGAATACTATGACATGATAGCTGCTAGCTCCCTGTTTCAGTTATTGCTCTTCTTATTTTAATATGTCATATTATTTCACAGCACACAGCAATTCCCTGGGAGTTTCCTTCATATATGTTGTGTGTGTATGTAGTCTATCAGGCTGTCTGATCGCAAAAGAAGGCTCTGATTCTCTGGCCTCAGCTCTAACGTCCAACCCCTCCCATCTGAGAGAACTCGACCTGAGCTACAATCATCTGGGAGAGTCAGCAGTGAAGCTCTTGTCTTCTGGACTGGAGAATCCAGACTGGAGTCTGGACACTCTCAGGTATGGAGAGGACTGCTACACCCACAGACAATTTCTAATAGAGGGAGGAGTGATTGAAAATATTTCTCACTGTTGATCTGTTTATTGGACTATTGCGAAATTTTGACTGATCTGTTAATCACTGATGTTAGGAGCATTTTTCCTCTTACAAGAGGCAGTGAACATAAATTGGATATATTTGTGTGTAGCAGCTGCAGGAACATCTTTGTCATTGTTTAGTTTAGACAGATGTGTGTGTCTGTCCTTGTGTGTAAAAGAGCGATGTAATGTGCAGGATGTAACCCCCTCCTTCTCTCAGGGTGGAGCCTTCAGGAGACCAATGGTTGACACCAGGTCTGAGGAAGTGTAAGTGTGTTTTTAATGTGATTCATGAACACAAAGCAGCACACATTCAACCATATTCAAACTGTCACATCACTCAGTCACATCTCTGATGTCAGGAGTCATCATCAAAGTGTCAATCAATGAACAGATGATGGATCAATAACTGCAACTGGATTGTGTTTGTTCTCTCCATCAGATTCCTGTCAACTCACAATCAACACAAACACAGTACACAAGAATCTTAAGCTGTCTGACAACAACAGGAAGGTGACATATGTTAAGGAGGAGCAGCCATATCCTGATCATCCAGACAGATTTGATGACTGGTGCCCCCAGGTGCTGTGTAGAGAAGGTCTGACTGGTCGCTGTTACTGGGAGGTCGAGAAAAATGGACAGGTTCACATATCAGTGAGTTATGAAAGAATCCCAAGAAAAGGGCACAGAGATGAAAGAAATGACATTGAATTTGGATTTAACGATCAGTCCTGGTGTCTCAGCTTCTCTAAACGAGGTTGCTTTGCTTGGCACAACAATAGAGAAATGTTCATCTGCTCTTCCTATTGTTGGTCTGGCAGAGTAGCAGTGTATCTGGACTGTCCTGCTGGCACTCTGTCCTTCTACAGAGTCTCCTCTGACACTCTGATCCACCTCCACACCTTCAACACCACATTCACTGAACCTCTTTATCCTGGGTTTGGGTTTGTGTTCAGAACAACATCAGGGTTTTCGATCTCTCTTGATTCTTCAGCTTCTCTGTGTTCAGTTTAGTGTAAATAGCGTCTTGTCTCATTATTTCTCTCTGTACCGTCCAAACTTTAATGTCACCATGTCTTTTGATGAATGAATAAGTTATAAGTGTAATCAAATAGCAAACATCATTTTATGGTCTTCAACTTGAACCCTCTCAGGCTCAAATTAAGTTTTTGTTGCTAATGCACAAAAGAATACCTGCAGTGGTACTTCTGAGTAAAAAAACCTCATAAAATATGTATGTGGGGTAATCAGGTTGTTAGCTTTTAACTGTTGCAAATCTGCAACGCCTGCCTTGAGAGGGTTAAAGTAACCTTTCTATACTGTCCCATACTGTCTGGGTAAAATTTGACCCTTTTTTTTTTTTTTACAATAGAGTTCATTACCCTCAGTACCATTCGTTTTAGCCTTTGAATTTTTTAATTTGCTTTTTGCTAAAGTAGTACCACAATTACAATATTTCAGAACTTAGTGTATGTTGCTACAGATGTTTGTACCCTGAGCATGTTCCAGGTCAGATTTGATTATGCATTGAATGAGCAGCAAATGTTAGCACTTCCAGACAAGCTGTTGAACAGAGATGAACTATTCCGAGAAATATTCATATATGAATATATGTATATTTTCAATATTTTTCAATATATGAATATTGAAATATTCAGAAAATGGTAAATGGCCTGCATTTGTATAGCGCTTTTCTAGTCCATAGGACCCCAAAGCGCTTTACACTACATTCAGTCATTCACCCATTCACACACTGGCGATGGCAAGCTACATTGTAGCCACAGCTGCCCTGGGGCGCACTGACAGAGGCGAGGCTGCCGGACACAGGCGCCACCGGGCCCTCTGACCACCACCAGTAGGCAAACACGGGGTTAGTATCTTGCCCAAGGACATTTGGCATGCAGCCAGGATGCAGCCTGGGATCGAACCACCGACCTTCTGATTAGTGGCTGACCTGCTCTGCCACCTGAGCTACAGCCACCCCAGAAGAGGAGCATAGCTAAATAAATATAAAAGGGTATATAAAAGGGTGGTTCTCTGGCCTCAGATAAATAAATATAAAGGGTATACAGGAGGCAGCACGGTGGCACGGTGGTTAGCACTGTTGCCGCACAGCAAGAAGGTCCTGAGTTCAATTCCACCATCAGGCCGGGATCTTTCTGTGTGGAGTTTGCATGTTCTCCCCGTGTTTGCGTGGGTTCCCTCTGGGTACTCCAGCTTCCTCCCACCGTCCAAAGACATGCAACTTATGGGGATAGGTTAATTGGATAATCCAAATTACCACTAGGTGTGAATGTGAGAGCGAATGGTTGTCCCTGTGTGTTGGCCCTGCGACAGACTGGCGACCTGTCCAGGGTGTACCCCGCCTCTCACCCTATGACAGCTGGGATAGGCTCCAGCGCCCCCCGCGACCCTGAAAAGGATAAGCGGAAGCGAATGGATGGATGGATGGGTATACAGGAGCTCCATTTGTAGCAGTATATCTGGACTGGCCCGCTGGCACTCTGTCCTTCTACAGAGTCTCCTCTGACACTCTGATCCACCTCCACACCTTCAACACCACATTCACTGAACCTCTTTATCCTGGGTTTGGGTTTTTATTCAGGACTCCAACAAACTTCATTTGTCCTTTTGGTTCTTCAGCATCTCTGTGTTCAGTTTAGTATAATTAGTCCCTGAAGCTCAGTTCATCTCAGGTGATTCAGTTCATGTTGGTGGCAGGTAAGTTTGCAGCAGATGAGATAAACTGTGATATCAGAGAGCAGCCACTGTCAAGTACTCACTACCTTAAACTTCTACAAGTGGAAGTATTTAGTTCTCAGTTCTTCCGTTTATTTAGGTGGCTGTGGATATGGAGGTACAGGGCCTCATGGTTGCTCAGGTGTCATAGATAAAGTACTGTATGAATGTGTGTCAGTTAATGAATTATAATCTAATAACTGAGAGGTTATCAAAGCAGGATACACCCTGGAAAACTTGCTAATCTATCACGACATCTGTTCAACTGTCAATCACCATACCAGCTGAATGGACTTTAGGTTAGTCTTACTGTCACATTTTTACCTAAATCCAGCCCACTGCAGACCAGATAGTTATTTTAGTTATAAAACACCTCAACATTTTTGTGTCTTATTCCTTCAGTTTTGTCTTGTAGTCTCTGGGATCTCATTAGAATAAGACATTCATTTGTTAGATCAGAACTGGGAGTCTCTGCAAAGTTTCCCTAGTTGATAAAATTACTCACCCACAGTCTTTAAACCCAGAAGATTTAACACTTTGATCTGAGCATGAACACCATGAGGTAGTCTGTTTTCTGCTGGCTGTGATTGTTGTAACTGTCCACAAGCTGTTTTTGTACAGTATTGGCGACTTGATGGACTAAACTTAAAACAATGCCACTTTCTTGTAGATACACTGAATCTATTTTAAGATAATTTCATTCAGAAAAAGTGTGTTTTTGAGTGTTTACAAAAGCACTGAAAACATGCCAGAAATAAACTCCATGCAATTATGAACATTGCAACTCAAGTAACTACCCTGTATCTCAAAACCAATGTAATGCTGCTGAAGTTGCGTGGCTACATAGGCAATGACTATGAAGCGCAAAAAGAAAAGCTTCTGTGGACACATACCATGAGTCACACTGATGATTGTTGTGATTTTTCCAGTAACTGAATCATGGAATGATGTTCTTTTACTGTATTTTGCAATACCTCTAGACCCATGACGTCTCAACACAGTACACAGTGTTTTTAAATATGATGTGATTCATGCATGGTTACAGTTACTGAGGTATATCTAAAAATTAAATAGAGCACTGGTTTTGTAAGGAAGTAAAATAGTAGATATCTGCTAGTGGTTTTGAATGTGTTGAATAAAATGTATCGAAGAACTTGCTTGGCTAAATCTGCCTATTAAGTTTCAGGATGCGAATCAAGACTGGACCAAGACTCCTGTTGGTCACTGCTCATATTAGTCATTTGCATGACATTTAATACTAAATACTTTCTTATTATCAGTGATGAACGTTAGCACTGAATGCCAATGTGAATATCGTCCTTGTCAGTGCTGTATGCATGGAGTTGTAGTTCCTGAGAGTGACCACTGGATGGCAATAAAATAATAAAAATAAAATAAAGCGTTTCTGTAATGCGTAAATTTGAATAAAGATCCAGTAAAAACAAAATTTTGCATATAATCAGTGGACTCCGCACTTGTACCGGGTGTTTCTTAGTTCTCCCAGTCACCCGAGCTTCTCATCCAACATAAACAGAAATTAAATGATAAAAAAAACGTTCTGTTTATCCGATAGATATTTTACTAAATACAGCTGATGTCTCACATTAGACATTTTTTCTAAATGAGTGTTGGTGTATTATTATTAAATGAGGGTTACTGCTGACAACAGTGTTTAACAGCTTATTATTATCATTGTTCTCATGATCAGACTGATAAAAATTAAACCTCAGGATCGGTGTGAAAATGATTCTTTTTTTTTTCCAACAATATCTTTATTGCGTTTCAAAATTACATACAGAAATTGGAGTACTTCCACAGCAAAGGAAACATCCAGGGCAGCTAAATTATTGTATAACAGTCAATCGCCCTCCCTTGCAAATCAGACACTTATAAGATGTTAGAGAGCAACAGTTAAGTGGAAGTACAAACTATATCACCTGTAAATAATAACTTAGTCAAACAAAGGAAAAGGAAAACACAACCCCCCCCCCCCCAAAAAAAAAAAAAAAAAAAAAAAAAATTATATATATAAAAAAATATATAAAATAAGCTTCTCTAGTTCCAAGGGTTGCTCAACATCAACTCGGTTACACTATTGTGCATGGTTCAAAGTTACAAACTCAAATGTACAATTCACACAGCATTAAAGATCAAGTATAAAAGAGATTAATTTAGGAAACTGCAGAGGACCACCAACATTTACACCCCATCTGCCCCATCCACCATACTGCCAAGATCCATATTTCCCATATATTGCATAAAGGGACCCCAGATGTTTTGAAAAAGTGGTAGTTTCCCCTTGATAATGTAAGTAATTTTTTCCATAGGTAAAGTTGTGGACAATTCCTTAATCCAGTTAATGTATTTTGGTTTACTGGTCTTCCTCCATGAGAGTGCTATGACTCTTTTTGCCAGCAGTAGACATAAGTCCAGGGCGGTAATTACCTTTCTAGACATAAGATGTCCATCAGGATATAACCCTAAAATAAAAAGTTTAGGGTCAAGAGCTAGTTGTGTACCCAATATAATATCCAGAGCTTGTTTAATCTCTTTCCAAAACCGTTGTACTTTATTGCATTCCCAGACACAGTGGAAAAACGTCCCTTTCTCCTCTCCACACCTGAAACACAAGTCTGGGATATCACCATTATACTTATTAAGCTTTTCTGGAGTCACATACGTCCTCATTAGCCAATTATATTGCAATACTTTGAGACGAGTATTGGTAGTTTGTGTTTGTGCTTCAGCACATGCCTCCTCCCAGTCTTCGGAAGATAAGTCCTCCTGTAAATCTTCCCTCCAGGCATTAAGTTTTCCTAAAGAAGATTCAGGGGAACCCTCTACTAACATATTATATAATTTGGAGATTATTCCCTTTCCAAAGCAATCTCTTTTCATTTCTGTTTCCAAAGTGGAAAACGGAGGGATTGACAAACACTGATTTTGAGATGATCTAATAAAGTTTCTCACTTGTAGATATTTAAATCGATGTTTGCATGGGATATCATACTTGGAAATCAACTCCTCAAATGACATCAAAATCTCACCCTCTGATCCCACGAGATCCCCTATTGTCTTTAAGCCTTTGTCAGCCCACTTCCTAAAACCAGGGTCTGCTCTGCCTGGAGGGAAAAATTGATTACCCCATATTGGGCTAAAGCGTGCGAAAGAGGTGGGTTCACCCAGGTATTTTTTAACCTGATACCAGATCATAATCATATTTCTGACTATAGGATTTTTTGTCTTTTTTTTCAACATTTTGACTTTTGCTGAGTATAGGTACTGGGGAAGGGGAAGAGGTACTGAACTGTTTTCCATATTTGTCCAAGGCGGGGGGGATTTATCTGTAAAATAATACATCATAGTCCTCAATTGGGCTGCCCAATAGTACCAAAGTGGATTGGGACATTTGAGGCCTCCTCTTTCATACGGTAAGTACAAGAGTGATAAACGGAGCCTTGGTCGTCTATCATTC